TGTCATGTATATCGTTTATACAATATTTATGATACATATGATAACCATTGTGTCATGTATATACAAAGTAAATTTTGATGATAAATACTTATGATACTGAGGGTATCTTTGAGTATAAGTAGGCAAGATTAACACAATATGTGTGGTCCGGAATGCAAGACTGGATTGCAGACAGGGAGGAGGTTCTCTCGTTGGAAGAGCCTGTATCCACCAATGGTGGAAGCTTTTGTGTCGTGACCTTGGATTTGAATGTATCCGTTGTGTTCGAAATGTGTGTACTTGCAAAACATGCTTTTGCGAAGTTGTCCCTCTAGCTTTGTCTGGGGCACGTCTTTTCGAACGTCGTGACAAAGTGTTGACCTTGTCGTGAACTGTTTGACCTTGACAGCCAGGTGTGCGAAGAAAGAACGTAGCAAATATGAATAGCAAAGTTCTTTGATCACAACAATTTATTTTTCACTAGCCGACTTTTCGATGACCATCAGGGCAATTTTGACTGGTTTGTTGTGCACTGACGCTAGATGTTACTTGGTGCATAGTGCACTAAAGATGTTACATAGTTCACAGTGCACTGTTACTTGGTTCACAGTGCACTTAAGCTAGTTTTTACTGTTAACAATGCTGATGACAATTTACTGTTAACAATTTACTGATGAAGATGACAGACGGTCATCGAAACGTCGGCTCGTGAAAAATAAATGGTTGTAATCAAATGACTTTGCTATTCATTCGTTTACCAACCTGATGAAATTATTTACGGATAAAGAACGTAGTAGGTTTATCACAACCATCTTGCTTGCAGGTTAATTGCATGTAACAGTGTAAATACAACGTGTCTATCAATTGCTACCTCAAAAGGCGCACAATGCAGTTTTTAGGGCTTGGAAACACGATTTTTCAAAGCAAATATTCCAGTTATTTTTCTACATAGTGAGTTGAAACCACACAGTCCCAATGTATATTACAAACATCTTGCTTGCAGGTTAATTGCAAGTAACAGTGTAAGTACAATGTGTCTATCAATTGCTACCTCAAAATGCGTCCGATGCAGTTTTTAGGGCTTGGAAACCCGATTTTTCAAAGCAAATATTACAGTCATTTATCTACATAGTGAGTTGAAACAACATTGTCCCAATGTATATTGACCCTCATGGAGCAAAAATTCCCGAAATTCTGACGAAAATGGTTACTAAAAGGGCCCTTGGCTGATTTTTTAGGGTACCACCCAATACCACCCAGGGCTTGTTTCTGTAGTTTTAAATAACGAAATGTGCTAATGTAAAGCAGTATGTGTCAATATCATAAATATTGCCTTATTTAGAATATTACCAGTTTTGCTGCTCTGAATCGCTGGATGCCTTTAAAGGAACAGTTCGAAATGGAAACTTCATCATTCGTTCACCGATTTTGATGTCAGTATTTATAAATTATTTCGCATACAGGTGATATGTATATCATCCTTGCTCAAATTGCAATTTCCAGGGGGTGAGCGCTAATATTTCTGAATAAAAGGCCAATATTTATTGTAAAAATCTTAAATTTATTGTCTGTATGTGTCTTTATGTATTGTACCTGTTTATTCATTTATTACGCAGGGCCCAACTGAAAAGCAGCGTTACTAGCCTCTACCAGGCTTCGGGAGACGGCTGGAAAGTGTAGAAATCGGTTTAAATATAGAGATAACATGCCGAGGGAGTTGGACCGATTTGTACTCTTTCCAGCCGTCTCCCGAAGCCTGGTAGAGGCTAGCGTTAACACCGAGTGGGCAACCTTCGATAAAAATGACGAAATAATAAAATAAATAAATAAAGTGAAAATCTGCAAGTTGACCACATGGTAAAGAGGTGTTAAACCCCATGAAGCATATGTTGGTTATTGCCAAATAAACCACAAGTCCGTTCGATAATCACTTCAAATTAATTACGGCAGATTAACACCTGGGGTGGAAAATGGGCGACAAATGAGTCGGGAGGAGCCACTAATCACCTGTGGGGATTCGCCCACCCTCATCACCCCCCCCCCTTATTCAACAAGTCCTCACACAATGGTTTTCCCCCGCTAATTCTTATAATTTGCATGTAGATTTGGGCGCTTTTGTTGGTTTTCTGAGAGGTACGATTGACTTCATTCAGAGTTGTGGGGATTTGTGGATCGCCCATCGGGGATAATGCCTTCTTCAGCTGGCCCTTGTGATAATCACTGTGCGAAGGTTCACCAAGCCATAGCCTCCTTCGCAGACTTCTGAGGGTACGGCGAAACCGTCTCTCCCGGCAAACTCTAGCCTCCGTAGCAGGCTTATAGAACTGGGGTTTGGTGGTCTTCGACTGTTTTCTGATTAGCCCGGTTCAAAAAACGGGGGTAATTCAACCAGGCCGGCTATGTTGTCTATATGCAATCAGAAAATAGCACATAAAAGCTCCAAAAGACCCTGAAGACCCCCAAACCCCCAGTTTGTTTTTTTCATGCTATGGAGGCTAGGCAAACGCCCTCCGCGGCATAACTCACGTCGCTCCCGGCCGAAAAAAAATTAACGCCGACGCCCCAGAAGTCTGCGAATGAGGCTATGGTTCACCACTCGAAGGAGGGTATAGTTTATATAGTGTGAACTCGGACTCAATTTGTAGAGAGACTCGACAACTCTTGAATACAAATTGTACAAATGAGGTAGCCTCTACCAGGCTTCAGAAGCGGATAGAAAGAGCAAAAAACGCATGGCCAAATAACATGCCATTGGGAATTGGTCCACTAAAGAACATTTTGCAGCCTCTGGTAGCTTTTCTGGTTTTTCCAGCCGCTTCTGAAGCCTGTTAGAGGCTACAAATGAAGAGCTTGAACATTTTTAGATTAGCAAAACAAAAAACAAAACAAAACAAAAAACATGTAAGGCGTACAGATATGTGCGTGTGAAGAAAAAAGATTATTATTTTTATTTCTTTGGATAAATCAACTAGAAAAATACATTATGGTGGTGTTCCTATATTGTTCTTTCTGTCAATGACGTAACTGAAATACATGTACCATGTAATCCTCAGGATATCAATTAATGGTAATTACAAACGATTGTGATGATAAAACTGACAATTTCGTCACACCTGTGGCATTCTCGGAAATTCTTTCTGATTTTTTTTGGCACCAGACGATCAAATATTGATACTTTCCGATCACATAGAGCACAATATATGCGTTAGAGCAACCTCAACAAAAAGTCTGTTTAAATAAACGTACTTCGTGTTTAATTAAATCCGACCACTTTTGTAAATCGAACCAACCGTCCAGCACATCTGCGAGTGTTGTCGTCATTCAATAACAAGCGTTTTCGGGAACAAAAGAACGCGGTCTCGATTCCCATGTCCGACCACAACCTGTTTCTCCCACGTATCCTGGTACACCTCGATTGTAAGTTCTTTCTAAAGACGTGCACAATAGGTGCGGATGCATTTATTATATGTTTTAGTTCCCATTTTGTACTGGCCATGCTATGGGAGTGGTAGCGTAGTGTGTGCTAGCCTCCATAGCATGCCAAAAACTGGGGGTTTGGGGGGTCTTCAGGGTCTTGTATGTACAGTTTTCTGATTGCAGATAACCGGCCTGGTTGAATTACCCTCGTTTTTAGAACTGGGCTAATCAGAAAACAGCCGAAGACCACCAAACCCCCAGTTCTACAAGCCTGCTACGGAGGCTAGTTGTGTGCGCACATACTGACATATCCTTTTTCTTCTAGCGTGCCTGAGTCGCTAGAAAGCACATGAATGCCATCGTTTGCAGGCACTGGAACCTCACGGCCGACCCACCGTTTGAGAAACAACAAAGAGGTCGAACTTTGGCGGGCTAATTGGGTTGAGCATTGTAGGGGGTAAGCTACATACACGACAAAGGGGTGGCAGGCATGAAGCCTTGTGCGACCTCCCGTAGGAAAAAAACCTTTCTGGGAAGTACTAAGTACTCTCTTGTTTACCATACACGATAGTACATGTCGGAAACAAAGAAGTTGTTGTAATTACTTAAGCTGGACATCCGAACCCTCAACTTAACCACACGACAACGTAACTCGACAAAGGACCTGATTTTGCTTGTAGTTTAACCAACGATGTATTTACGGATTTGTAAAGGAAGCGTAAAGATATGAAATATGTTAACGTCGTATTTAAGCACACTGAAAGGTGGCGAAAAGGCGGAGTTTGCCTTTCAGAAGCTTTTACGAAGTCGTAAAGACTACAGAAATATTTTCTCACCTTTAATACTTCTTTACATATTGCGGAAACTTTTGCTTAAATGTCTGTTTTCGTGCTGTGTGTTAAGTAAAGGTTATCTAGTTTAGGTGGAAACCTATCTCTAGAGTGAAACGCGGTTCGAGGACAGCAAACATTACAAAACGTTCAACACATTCTCTAGATAAAATCTCTACACAGGTGTGCCTAGAACTATGCACACACGGGACAATAACCCACCACAAACGCAGGTGCTTCAAATATCTCTCGTTTTTTATTATCAGCATTACACCATATTTTCTCACGTAAAATTCTCTCTGTAAGTTTTTTGGGGTGTACTAGTATTTCTTTTGGCGTGCAGAGTGGAAACCGGTTGGGTAAATTTGCACTTCGACTTTTCTGAGTGGACGTAAGCCTATATGGTCAGTCAGAAAACTTTCTAATTGGAAATAAACGGAGGAGGGCCTATGCTAACTTGTGATGAACAAACATAGGATTTAGGTTTGAAATTACAAGCCTAGTCTGCCTATGGAGGCTTCTTAGGCTGTCTGTAGCCTCTATCAGACTCCTTGGAAGTTCAAAGAATAGTAAAATTTGGTCAAATATGGAGAATACTTTGCCAGAAGAATTAGCTAGCAAAACAGTTTTATGTTAGTAACTCTACTGGCAAAGTATTCACAATTTTCACAATTTTTCTTTGATCTCAACAAGTCTGTTAGAGACTACATTTTGTTTGTAAGAACACAAGAACTAGTTGGGAATAAACAAACAAATATAAATAAAACACTCCTGTTTAAGGACGGTTGTATTGCAAGGATGAAATCTCTTCATAGCATGAACAAACTTTTCAACAAGAACCTTGGAACAAACTATGGGTAGGTACTAGTACTTGCATTGAAGAAGTATTTTCCTTCGAATTTTTCACAAATGATTGTCGTTAACGAAAACTACAAACCTCTCAGACAACCTTCCTTTTCATAAACTAACAAGAAATTTGACGAACTGAAAAAATATTTACAAACATTTAGACGTTATAGAACAGAGTGACATTATTGATATATTGCATAAATATCAGGCATCAGCACCCGTATATGATAATAATAATGATAATATTATATCACAATTTGTACAATTAGAGAATCTCTTCCGAAATTAGGTCATTCTATACAATATAAACAAGGGGAAAAATGATTGCTGTGGACCCCGAATATCCTTGGTTTACATGTACCCATCATTATGGTCGCTGTGTGAGTTGATTTGCAACAAAATAACACCTTGATTGTACAGCTTGGTTAATCAGTAACTCTAAAGAAAACAGACCTTGGAAATACGTGTGGCAGTACTGAGCATTCGGTACACAAAAGAGTTGTATTTCTTTACACAGTAACACTGTTGCCCCCCTCCCCCATAAGTATAAATCATACGTGGGTAAAAGAAGTCTGTTTGGGGAGGGCTATAGTAGTAACTGCTGTGTACCTGGCTTGTGTTTGACTGGTCTTTTTCCCGCAGAGTTTTCTGTGGAACTGTTTCCAAGAGTCGATGGTTTTGCCGGTCCAGACCCAGACCCCTGATGTTACTCCTACCACTAGGCACATGAAATACTTGAGCATGAAGACGGTATAGTCCGGCCGAAAGTCTGGCATGCAGTCGGGGCAGGCTAACGCTCGCTCCCAAGCCGGTCGGTGCTGCTGCTCGTAGAAGTAACACGCGACCACGATGGTGGCAGGGACGGTGTACAGCACGGAAAAGATCCCGATTCTCAGCATGAGTTTCTCCAGTTTGTCCGTCTTCGTCCCGCCCTGCTTGATGACTTTTCGGATCCGGATGAGCGAGACGAATCCGGCGAGGAGGAAGGACGTCCCGATGATGAGGTAAACCATGAGCGGGGCTAGCACGAACCCCCGCAGATTGTCCAAGTTCTGATTGCCGACGTAGCAGATCCCGCTGACCGGGTCCCCGTCCACGGAGCTCATCGCCAGGACAGCGATGGTTTTGACGCTGGGGATGAGCCAGGCGGCCAGGTGGAAATACTGCGCGTAGCTGGCGATGGCCTCC